ACTGTACACTGCTTTCCGCAGCAAAGTCCTCAGACCACTAGTTGAGCCGCCAAGACTCGGTTTACTTTTGCGGTGTGCTCGAAGTGTTTTCCTTCTTCTTCAAAGACTAATCGCAAGGCTGCAAATCGCTGCGTGCATTCCTCAAGGACATCTTCTTCAACCCAGGAGCCTTGTAGAGCAATCTCAAAGTGGGACTTGAGTTTCTTGAATTGTCTTGAGTTGATACCGAGCTCGAAGATGGCGTAGTTGTTCATAATGATACGAAGACGCGCATCACTGTCAACCAAATTGTTTTCCAAGGCACACTCAATAAGGCTGTACATGACACTTGACAATCGCTTCATGCTCATGTGGCTGAACACCATTTTCAAATCGGCATCCTCTTTGATGCTTTCGCAAAGGTTCATGAGGAGGAAGCTCATTTCACTTCTTCCACCAAGCTTCTCGATTAGGTTAGTTTGGGCTTGGAATGCGTGTTCATTGTTAATCGTAGGTCTGCACATTCTGTTTCTGTTCTTGTTGATGATGATCTGATGGAGCTTTTGGTTGAAAGTTCAATTTATGTTATGAGGCTGTGATGGGATTGATTTTGTGGAGACATGTTGCTTGTTGGCCCTTTTGATTTTGAATGATACGAAGGTATAGGAGTAGAAGGCTCCCGAGCGTTTTGTTCCACCATTGTTTCGGCCTGCGTGTCGAATATCACGTTTTGAACATATAAGTAGTGGTAGCGTAAAATAGAACAAAATGCCTTTTTTGGGGTCGAAAGATTCAAAATTCGCGCATGACTGGGAAAAAAGCACTTGTAAAGTCGCCGTTCAAATTCTAGTGACTGTATGACTAGAAAAAAAAGCGACCACAAATTCTCCGCTCTCATATATGCGTGCCACCGCCGTTGCATGTTCAAAAACCTTATTTCGGAAATACACATACCAAGGTCTTTTATATTTTATATTTTGAAGAACAAGGTCTAGAGAGGCCAACCTTGGAGGCCACTCACTCTCGTTCTGTAAATCTCGTTGTGATGGATTTCCTCCCGAGCATCATGCCAACAAAACTATTCCACGCAAGCAACCGTCGAAGAACGGTATAATATAAGGGCATATTGTACGCAATACTAAAGGGACTGTACCAGGTACTACTAGTGGTACCAATGCTACTAGTACTAGTATTGCTTCTTTGTACCCTACCGTGGAACCAGAAGTTTCTTTTGGTGACACCGGCCCAGCACCACCACCACAACAGACGAATATTATTATCTAGTAGCATTCTTGCTGCGTGAACATAGTAGTAGTGTGATATGAAGCTGGAAGCATTGACCTCTATAGTACCTACCAGTAACCGTTCTGCTTTTGATGTAGTTGTAACAAGCATGGGTAGCAGATGATAGCATTACTGTAGCTAGCGATAGCATCAGGCAGCATGACTCATGACTGACTCGACTAATGACGACTTGTCCTCGTTCCTTCTCGGACATCATGTGTCCGACACACATTCTGACGTCATTCATTCATGATCCGACACACACATAAAAATCGAACCATTATTCAAATAAATTTTGATGTCCGTATGATACCCGCATGCTCGGGTGTTACCCCCCAACGCCGGGCCAGCGAACGGAAATTCAAATCCCCACTCCGAATCCATCGGTGATC